TATAGCTCTGGGGGCCCCGCCATACATCTTGCTGCCCGGGCTGCTCTGGGGCCCTTGACTCCTCGCCTCGCCCGGCCGCCGGCCCGCCCACAGGATGGCACATTCTTGGGAGGGCAGCAGGCCCGTTGGCCTTGGGGAGCCCATATTTCAAAGAACCGGCCTTTCCCCTGTGATCCGTCAAGAACGGAAGGAGAGCGCGACCCTGGCCTGCACAGGCAGCACCAGCCTCCGGCCCACACCGGCCCGCCCTCTCCCTCTGCGATGCTGCAGTCTGTCTCCTGGGGAAAGGTGCCCCCGCCTCACGGGCCCCAGGACCCTCCGAAAACACGATGAGCTGCGCGGTCTGTGTGTTCTCCCGCTGCACAGGCGGGAGCCCGCGGCCGGTGTGCCGGTTTCCTGCGTTACACCTGTAGCCCCGTGTGACTGTCATCATCGCCCCGTTTCACTCTCAGCAGCTGAAGATGAAGAACTGTATGGTCCCCGATTTGGAGCTCTTACCATGTGCCTGATGCTTTTTGGTTGCAAGAAAGAGACCAACTTGCGGAACTTAAGCCAAAAATAGAAACTGCTTTATAAATTCCAGGGTATCCCAGGCCCTGAGGTCAGGAGCCGGGGCAGGGAGAGCGAGGCCCTGGGGCGGCCCCCTCGTCCTCCTGCTCTGCAGCCCGCGGCACCTGCTCTTGGGCCGGCCAAACAGGACTGCCTTTGGGGTCAGAGTCCACAGGTTAAGGTCCAGCCAAGGGCACTGGGCTTCCCAGCACAACCCCACGTACCCCCCGTGCCCCCAAAGTCCCCAGGAAGGAGCCCAATGGCCACAGCTGGGGTCCGGGTCCAGCCCCCTCCCGGGAGCAGGAGCCGTAAGAGGATCCCACTGGACCACGTAGGACTATCAGGGAACCATTTTAGGGATGAGGTGTCGGTTGAGGGGCTCAGAGGAGGGTCTTGGGGAGAGGCCCTGCCAAAGAGGGGGGCATGGCTCAGGGAGAGGTTAGGCCTCCTGGGGTTAAAGGTTAGAGGTGACCCGAGGCCCACCCCATCCCCCAATTCCTCAGCCCTGGCTCCAAACTGACCCCAGCCCCCTGGGCTGTGCACTGGAGAGCCTGGGTTGAGGTCCCAGCTGTCCCACCCACTGGCATGGAGAATTAACTCAGGTCCCGGTGGCAGAGCCGGTGGGAGACGGGCCGGGGCTGTGGGGTGGGCAGCAAACGGGACCACAGGTGCAGCTGAGCCCCGGCTGGCACCCACGGGCATAGCTGTCAGCATGGTGACGGCTGTGGGAAGCGAGGCCTGAAGGGCAAGCACAGGGCACACACCACAGCCTAGGCAGCCTCTGCAGTGCTGGGGGGGCAGGGCTTCAGGTCGCACGGAATCGGGGCGGGGGGCGGGTGACCCAGAGAGCAGGCGTGCTTGTAAACAGCCCCATCTCTTCCACCGCCCACCAAATCCAAATGCCAACCTGATGCGTCACACGCCGGGCCCTGCCCTGCTGTCCTGCCTGGCCTTTCATTCCTTCCCCTGCCTCCAACCCCCTCACGTAGCCTCGCTCTCTTCCTGAGCCTCAGCCCCAGAGCCCAGCTTCGATGTCACGGCCTCGGGCAGCCCTCCGCCCCTCTCCCGGGCTAGGTCAGATGCCCCACCAGTGCCCACAGGACCACACGCCCAGCAGCACCCTCAGAGGCGGGGCCTGGCACGCGGGGCACGGAGAGAGGCCCGCCCGTTTCTGTCGACTGAATGGCAGGCTGTGATGTCAGCAAACCTCTGGATGGATTTCTAGGTCAGCCCTTCAGCCCCAGGGCGCCCCCAATGCAGGGAGCAAGGCGGGCCGGTGGGGAGGGCTGACCCCAGGAGAAGAGTGTCAGCGAACACAAAGGCAGCCTTGGGCTTGGCTAAGGTCAGTCCCGGAAGAGACCCTGGCGCTCCCAATGCCCGCATCACAGGCTCTCCACAGACCAGGTCACCGTGCAAACAGCCCACGGGCCAACTGTGCCGGGACCGTCGGCGAGACTGGCCACCCGGGCAGCGGAGGGCCTGTGGCACGGTGAAGGCAGGCCACGGTGCGGAGGCCGGGTCCGCGGGGCGAAGGCTGCGGGTCACGAGTCTGCTTGGTGGTCTGATGAGGGACTGAGCTCCTGGGGAGTCGCCGGGAGGGCCACCAGCTCCCACAGCCCGGGATTACGCAAGCCCTGGCCGGCCAGGACTAGAAGGCGCAGGGCTGGGACACACACACACACACACACACACACACACACACACACACACGGACACGTGGCTGTGTAAGGTCTTTATTGAGTCTCGGGCCCAGCCCTGGGCCCCTCCCGGGGTCGGGGTGAGCAGCCCTACACCTGGCAGCCCTGAGTGCCGTACTCCTGCAGGAAGGCGCGGAGCTGGGCGCAGGCTGCCCGCTGGCGGGTGCTCCGGCACAAGCGGTCAGAAGGCATCTCCTCGATCCAGCTGTTCGAGTCCAGCAGGTACTGGGGTCTGTGGGAGCAAAGGGCCGTCAGCGGGTTCCGGACGGGCAGGCAGGAGCAAGCCCGCGGCACCTGGCACCTGAGGGGCAGGGCCTGGTGCTGGGGATCCTCGCCCTCAGGAGGTGTGAGGGCAGCAAGAGACCCAGGGCCCAGCGAACTCACTGTCCCTTGAGGTCGTGGGTGGTCCCGTCCAGACCCATAATCAAATATTCTTTCCCGGGTTCCAAGCGAAGGCGGCAAGAGGCTCGAACCAGAAAGTTCCGGGTCTGACCAGCAGCGGCCTGGGCATCCTTGGCTGAGGGGGACGGGACAAGAGCTGTCAGAGGGACGGAGTTTGCTCTTAGCTGGTGCCCCGTAAAACACAGAACACTTGTGATCTGAGGAGAGCAGAGAGGGCGTTAGGGCACCTGCCCTCCTGCCAGCCAGTCTGGAGCCCCAGGACCTCCCTGCCCCTCCACAGCCCCAGTCCTGGTGCCCCGGGTACTTGCCAGGGTTGTAGTAGTCGTACAGGGTGGCGCTGGCCGGCTGCACCAGCCCCACGGCCACCTCCTGCACAGCTCCAAAGCCCACGCACTCCCGGGAGGTGGGGACCTGCGGGGCGGGGGGGGAGGGGGGG